GAGCGGCTTCAGCAGTCACCTGGAGCCCAGCAGTGCTCAGCCCAAGTGGCCCTAGCTCCAGGACAATGCCGAGCCACGCTGCACCCATGCACTGCGACAGCTGCCATGCAGGTGCCCCCCGCTGCCCCATGCTGCATGGAGGGTGGCTCTGCCACAAGCCCCCAGAGGCCCTGATCACTGCTGCTGAGTGCGGGGCTTTTTTTTGCTTTTTTTTTTTTTAAGTGCTGGGAAGCTGGGGCCAGGCAGGGCAGCCATTGCGGAGAGCTGGGGGAGAAGGCAGGAGGTGGGGCCCCACTCACCACCACCATGCCCCCGCCACCAACACTGCCATTGCCTGTTAGATTCAGAGGAGATGTGGCCTGATTCAGCTGTCAAATCTCTGAATCTGAATCAGCCTAATCAAATTGGGACAGTAATTCGAAGAATTGAATCATAGATTCATAGATGCTAGGGTTGGAAGGGACCTCAACAGATCATTGAGTCCGACCCCCTGCCTAGGCAGGAAAGAGGGCTGGGGTCAGACAGCCCCAGGCAGATGCCTGTCCAGCCTTCTCTTAAAGACCCCCAAGGTAGGGGAGAGCACCACCTCCCTTGGAAGCCCATTCCAAATTTTGGCCACCCTTACCGTGAAGAAGTTTTTCCTGATGTCTAGCCTAAATCTGCTTTCTGTCAGTTTGTGACCATTGTTCCTAGTTACCCCAAGAGGTGCCCTGGTGAACAGAGCATGTCCAATCCCTCGGTGCGTCCTCCTAATGAATTTGTAGGCGTTCACAAGATCACCTCTCAGCTTTCTCTTGCTGACACTGAAGAGGTCCAGGTCCCTCCATCTCTCCTCACAGGACTTGTCCTGTAAGCCCCTAACCATATGAGTGGCCCTCCTCTGGACCCTCTCAAGTCTATCAACATCCTTCTTGAAGTAGGGTGCCCAAAACTGGACACAGTACTCCAACTGTGGTTTGACCAATGCCGCATAGAGGGGAAGTATCACCTCCTTGGTCGTATTTGTCATGTATCTGCTGATTCATGATAAAGTGCGGTTAGCTTTGCTGATGATTTCGTCACAATGACAACTCATGTTCATCTTGGAGTCTGCTATGACTCCAAGATCCCTTTCTGTTTCTGTGCTGCTGAGAGGGTCACTTCCCAGCCAGTAGATGTACTGGATACTTTTGCACCCTAGGTGCAGCACTCTGCACTTGTCCTGTTGTACTGCATCCTATTGTGTATTGCCCACTTTTCTAACCTGTCCAGAACTTTCTGGAATTGTTCCCTACCCTCCAGAGTGTGCACTTCACCCCACAATTTAGTATCATCTGCAAACTTAGACAGAGTATACTTCACACCCACATCCAAGTCACTGATGAAGATATTGAAGAGTACAGGTCCAAGGACTGAACCCTGTGGGACCCCACTACCCACATCCTTCCAGGTCGATACCGACCCATCTACTACCATTCTCTGGGTGCGACCACTAAGCCAATTTGCCACCCACTGGACCGTGTAAACATCTGTCACAGCCTCTTAATTTATTTATGAGAATGGGATGAGATACCATATCAAAGGCCTTACTAAAATCCAAGAAAATGACATCCACCTCTACTCCTGCATCTAAGCATTTTGTGACCCTGTCATAAAACAAAACCAGATTGGTCAGGCATGATCTACCTGCTATGAATCCATGCTGGTTTCCCTCCTACTTTATTTTTCCCACTGGACTCCCACAAATATGATCCTTCATAATCTTTTCAAAGACCTTTCTAAGGACGGAGGTGAGACTGACTGGCCTATAATTACTCAGATCCTCCTTCCTCCCCTTCTTGAAAATAGGGACCACACCGGCCCTTTTCCAGTCCTCCGGGACCTGACCCGAGTGCCACAAGTGCTCAAACAGCTGTGCCAGTGGTTCTGCTATGACACCAGCTAATTCCTTCAGTACTCTTGGATGCAGCTCATCCAGGCCTGCTGACTTGAACTCATCCAGTCCATCCAAGTGACTCTGCACCAAATCAGTGTCGACAGTTGTAGGCTGATGTCCCTCTGATGCCCATCTAAGAACCCATTAGGATACTTATCTTGAGCCCTATTCAGGAACACTGAGGCAAAAAACTCATTGAATAGCTCAGCCTTGTCCCCGCTATCTGTCACTAATTGCCCCTTCTTGTTCCACCCTACTAGATATCTTACCCACCCTACGCCGTATGGTGAATTCGATTGATCGGTGGTCACTATCCCCAAGGCAACCATTAATTTGCAGCTCCCCTACCAGGCCCTCCCCCGTAGCCAACACCAAGTCCAGTAAGGCATTCCCCCTAGTGGGACCGTATACCTCCTACGTTAGGTGAAGGTCCTGTATGCAGGTTTGGAACCTATGTGAACAGTTGGATTTGGCTGACTGCTCCTCCGAGCAGATGTCAGGGTAGTTTAGGTCCCCCATGACAACCATGTCCCTAGACGGCCTCTGAGAGCTGCCTCAAGAATTCCAAGTCTAGCTTTTCCTCTTGGTTTGGTGGTCTGCGGCAGACCTCCACCACCAAGTCCCTTTCCTCTCGACCTCCATGTATCCTAACCCATAATGCCTCAACTTTCTCCTCCTCTGATCCCATTTTAATTAGGGTAGATGTATAATGCTCCTTTACATAGCGAGCAACCCCGCCCCCTTTCCTCCCTACTCTGTCCCTTCTGTACAACCTATAGCCCTCAATGTGTACTGCCCAGTCATGGGTAGGGTCCCACCAGGTTTCCATTAGCCTCACTAAATCAAAGTTATTATTTGCAAGTAGAAGTGCGAGTTCTTCCTGCTTGTTCCCCATGCTCCTAGCATTAGTATAGAGGCACTTGAGCCCTCCGAATGGTGCCTTTGGTGCCCCCCTCCCCACTTCTGATGCCCAAAGGGCCCCTTGGTATATACCTGGGGTATACTGCTTCATGTCTCGCAGTTTGTAGGTTCTAGACTCTCTCCATCTCCTGCTTCCTTGTCCCCTGTCATACTTAGTTTAAAGCCCGACACAGGAGCTCAGCCAACCTGTAAGAAAAGAGACTCTTACCTTTTGTGGAGAGATGAAGCCCATCGTGTCCCAGGAGGTCCCTTGCACAGAAGTGCAGATCGTGGTCCAGGAAGCCAAAACCCACACGATGGCACCAACTCCGGAGCCGTGGGTTGACTTCTCTGACATGGGTTACGTGATGCCTACTGCGACTGCTGACCGAGAGGATTGATGAGAAGACCACCTGTGCCCCTGTCTTTCTAAGCTTAGTCCCCAGAGCCCTGTAGTCACTCATGATATGGTCTGGACTACTCCAGGCCGCATCATGTGTTCACACATGGACGAGGACCATGGGATAGTTGTCGGAGGGCCAGATGAGGTCAGGAATTCTCACCATGACATCCCTGATCCGGGCTCCAGGAAGGCAGCAGACCTTGTGCACCATGGGATCTAGACGACAGATGGGTTCCTCTGTTCTTCTCAGCAAGGAGTCACAGCATCTCTTCTTCTGCTTACCTGGCCAGCCCTCAGCTCACTCAGTGATGGCAGCAGGCCCCTCCAGTGCACTTTCCCCCACCACACACTCCTCCAGTGCAGCCAGGGCCTCATATTTGCTCCCCAACTGCACCAGGGGAGCTGTCTCTGCAGCAAGAGGTCTGGCCCCTGAGGTTACCATCCTCCACTCACCAGCATCTGCTTTGGGGCATTTCCTTGCAGCTTCTCTGCCAAACTGAATCACTGTCCCACCAAATTGGCCAAATCCAAAGCCGAATTGAATACTTGGTGCTTTGCACAGGCCTACTTACCGGTACGTGTATATCCTGAGAGATGAAGATTTTTTGTGATATCTTTTATTGAATCAATTGTAGAGCTAGGAAAGCTGTTAGACAAGTTTCTGGTATCAAGCCCACTTCTTCAGATTCCTGAAGGCTTCTCCAACAGCCTCTCCCTGCTAATACAGTTGGTCCAATAAAAGGTATCACAAAAAATCCTTCTCTCATACACTTCCTGGACCAGCACTGCTACAACAACACTCCAGTCTTACTATTTCTAGATTCCCTAACTCAACTGACCATGCCTTTTCACACTTGAATTTGTTTGGGTGAACTGCGCTCAGGGGAACTCCCTTCAGAGCAGTGTAGTGACCTTGCATCCTACATAGCTTTAGGTGACCATATGAACTTGAAACAAGATCCTGTAGTGCGATAGAGGGAAATCACAGGATTATAGAAGGGACCTCAAGAGACTGACTAGGGAGGCGCCTGAGCCTGCACTTATCTCCTCACACCTGCTTATTTCCTAACACCTTGCCTCACCCTTCAAAAGATCTGGCAGTACCCTGGTTGAAAATCACTGGTCTACACTGCCAGTGGAGTTGTGATTCAACACATGCAGACATACTCAAGCTAGCTTTAAATCTAGCCAGTTTGAGTGCCAATAGTAGCATCACTGTGGTGGTGCAGGCTACAGTCAAAGAGGAAGTACCCAGCATCCTGACTGGCCTTGCTCAACCTGTGTGAAGTCCATGCTACTGCAGATTTATTGCTAACAATACCCTCCCCCCAAAAATTCCAGTGCAGTGGAGGGGAACATTTTCTGAGCAGCTATCATTAAATAACCTGTCCAAAGACAGAGTGAGTTAGTGTGAGTGCTGGAATTAGAATTTAGGAGTCCCTTGTTCCCCATTGCTCTCTTATAATCAACCACACTCCCTTTCCATTTCTCTTCAGTATCTCCTTAGAAGTTACTGCAGCTTTAATTTCCGTTTGCATATACAGTTTTAAATAAACCCATACTTCTTTCCAACAGACATTGCAGCTGGAAGACACTATAATGTTTCAGTGTATGCAGTGTACCAGGATGGGATAAGCCAACCGTGTTCTGTCCAAAGCTATCTGGAAGATTTAGGTAAGCACACTCTTGTGGTGAAGTCACTGTTTGCTGTGATGGAAGTAACACTCAGTGTTCGGTTTTATGGCAAATATTGTTTTCCCCCAGATCTTTCAATGAATTTGGAATTTACTAGAGTTACTAGATATTGCCAACTAGATCTAAAAATCATATCCCATGAAACACAAAAAAGAAATTAAAAAGAAAACTTCCTATGAACATCTTGACTTTGATCTTCTGAAGGCCCATGCATCTCTTGTAGGATGGCTGCATGACTGGTAACATTGTTTTGACCTCTATTCTGCTTGGGAGCCAGATGTGCAGAATTCAGTAAGATGTTCTGCTCATCTGGTCTTTGGACAAACTCCTTGTTGAAATGACACTTCAGGACAAGGTGGGCACATCTACATAAGAAGTTTACTGTGGAGTAGATTAATTAACTCCATAATTAGCTCCCAGCTCAACATGCTGCAGTCCCAGGCGCACATATAAAAATGGCACCTGGGAGCAATAAAGACGGGTGCAATAAGCACCAACGTTTATTGCTTTGTATGAGTGTGCATGTGTAGACACACCCAGTAATTGTAAATGAGGGATCTCTGAAGAGTCAGAAGACCTCAAAGAGAACACAGTCATCACCTTCCTTCACAACTCCTCCAGAAGGATGACTTCCTATTTATTTTTGGACCTGACTTGTATAATCTATAATGCCCACCCAGCCTAAATATAATCTAGTGTTTAGACAAATAGAAAAAAATTATGGAAGCAATTATACTTCCACTGCAGGATTTCTCCAGGCATGAACCTAGTGTGTTTCCTTCCTGCTCATAGCTGGAAAAAAGGACAATATTTGGAATTTTTCTATGCTACCAGATACTTCTTCATACTGCTCTGAATACAATTTCTGACTAATTAAGTTTAAAATTTATGTAGCCTTTTGAGATTCACAAACACTTTCATGAATAAATTAGGAAGGAGTGCATGTATGTGACACAATCAGAAAATCATAGATGATTAGGACTGGAAGGGAATTTCTTTAACAAATTCTGCATACACTCATCCCAAGACATACTGACTAGCCATGATTTTTCTCGGGGAAGACAGCTTTCGTTTACACTAACCAGGCACAACTTCAATATTCAAGTCACTTTATCTCTGGAGTTTCTATTTTGTCCCATCTCCACTCTGGCAACCTAGTTCCTGTCTAGCAACAGAAAAGATTCCTATAGAAACTTTAAAGTCTATGTATCTATCCTTGTATTCCATCTATTCCATAGGAAAAAAAGTATTAATATAAATCAGGACAAATAAATAATCTTGAGTTCTCAACAAGGCACTGTCCTACAGTGATGCTGAATATAGAGCATTATCCATAGAACCATGTTAACAGATTTACAGGATTTTCAGTCCAGAAAAACCCTTTAGGAGTATCTGGTCTGACCTTGGGTTACACATGCCATAGGGTGTCTTCTAGTAATAATCATCTGGTTAAGCCAAAGAATGGCTTGTAGAAAAGCATCATGTAGAAAGAAGTTTTCCTTTGTAAAAAAAAAGACGGTTCAGCATTAGGAAGTCCATACATTATTTTAAAAAGGTTGTTGAGGTTTATTACAAAAGATGATGAAAACTAAATAAACAAAATGGTAACAGTGTGGCTAATAGCTCTGAAAATGTATTTGAAATGTTCCAAAACAACTAGCATGGCCAAATGGGCTCGTATTCACTAGACAGAGAGCAAAATCCTTCTACTTGGTGCCACAATCTGAATCTCTTCTCCACGTTCCAGCTGCATAGATTTATTGAATCTATCTGCAATGTGTTTATAACTTTAAATTGCATAAGTTAAAACAAGTATATGCTAGTACATCATGATCAGGCTGCTAAATTCTTCATTTGCTTGCAGAATATTTTTCAAAGAGCATATCCTCTTATAGAGTCATTCCAATTTGAGCTGAAAAAATATAGGTGATTGTGGAGAGCTGAAACCATCAGCCATCTGGAAGATGGGATGGAGTGCACCCTCAGCAAGTCTGAGGATTACCTCAAGCTGGGGGGAGTAGTAGATATGCTTAGAGGGTAGAGAGAGAGAGACAAATTGGAGGACTGGACCAAAAGAAATCTCATGAAGTTCAATATAAAGGAGAATTTCAAAGTCCTGCACTTAGGACAGAATAATCCCATGCAGTAGTAGAGGCTGGGGACTGACTGGCTAAGCAGCAGCTCTGCTGAAGAGGACCCAGGGGGCTACAGTGGACAATAAGCTGCATGAGCCAACAGTGTGCTCTTCTTGCAAAGAAGGCTAACAGCATACCAGGCTATATTTAGGCTTGGCAGAATTTGATTTTTTTTTGATGGCTAAAATCAACGTTTATTTTTAAGCATTTATTGTGATTTTTACTGATTGAAATGTTCAGGGTTGTGAAAAATTAGGGGTGGTTTTTGATCTTTATTCATATAGCATGCATGCACACACGTGCATGCATGTGCAGTAGCTGCTGCAGCAACTGGGGGCCGTGCCAATAAGGTTGTTTCAGGAGGAGGTGGGGAGAAGAGGCTGGACTGGCAGGAGGGGCTGGAGGGGCAGGGCTAGTAGTGTCCATGAGCCCAGTGCCACTAGTCCTTCACTCTGCCCAGGTCCCAGCTGGGGCATGGGCCAAATTCCCATGGAGCCCAGCTTGACCTGGCCTCCACAGGAGTTTGGCCCCCTCCCCAATTACACAGGAGCGGGCTGGGTTGGACCAGGCTCCATGGGGATTTGGCCCCTGCTCCAATCATGTAGGGGCCAGGCCAGGCTGGGCTCCATGGGAGTTTGGCCCCTGGGTAACTGGGGCAGGAGCCAAATTCCCATAGAGCCCAGCCCAGTCTGGCTCGGTCCCTGTGTGATTGGGGTAGGGGCCAAACTCCTGTGAAGCCCAGTCCTGCTTCCCAGGAGTTTGGCCCCTGTCGTGGCTGGGCAGAGCGAGTGGCCTGTGACACCGGGCTCCCCTCTGCTATCAGCCATGCCCCTCCAAGCCCCCTCCCAGCACAGCCTTACCAGCATGGCCCCCAACTCCTACAGCAGATGCTGTGTATGTGTGTGTGTGTGTGTGTGTAGTGCACAGCACTCCCCATCCTGGATTTCTTTACCTCTGTCCTGGTTTTTATATATATATACATATATATGTGTGTCTCCTTTTTGTAAACTTCAGTGAGTACCGGCATAAATATTTTAATAAGTATCAAGTGAAATTGATGTTTACCAATAAAGCTTGAATCCTCCAAGCCTAGCTATATTAGTAGGAACGCCACCAGAAGATGAAGGGAAGTGATTATTCCATTCAATTCAGCACTGGTGCAGCCACATCTGGAGTACTGTGTCTAGTTTTGGACCCCCCATTACAGCAAGGATGTGGACAAATTGGAGAGAATCCAGTGGAGGGCATAAAAAATGGTTCAGGGGCTAGGGAACATGATTTCTGAGAAGAGGCTGAGGGAACTGAGCTTATTTAGTTTGGAGAGGAGAGGACCGAGGAGGAATTTAATAACAGCTTTCAACTACTGAAGAGCAGTTCCAAAGGGGATGGTGCTGTACTGTTCTTAGGGGCAGCAGATGACAGACGAAGCAATGGTCTCAAGATGCAGCAAGGGAAGTGTAGGTAAGATATCAGGAAAAAAACTCTCTCACTAGGAGGGTAGGAAAGCACTGGAACAGGCTACCCAGAGAAGTTGAGGAATCTCCATCCTTAGAGGTTTTTAAGACCCAGCTAGACAAAGCCTTGTATGGGATGATCTGGTTGCGGAAGGTCTTACTTTGAGCAGGCAGTTGGGCTGACTGTCCCTTCCAGTCCTCATTTTCTATCATTTTATGATTGTGTCACATACATGCACCCCTTCCTAATTTATGCATGAAAGTGTTTGTGCAAAGGCTACATAAAGGCTTAAAAGGCTACATAAATTTTAAACTCAATTAGTCAGAAACCACAATTTATTGCACTTTCTGCAAGAATTACTATGTGAAATTACAGGCAGTCCTTGGACTTACAGCACAACTGGTTCCTGAAAATCACGTCTTAAGTCGAAAGGTTGTAACTTGGAACCAATTTTCTCATAAGAAACAATGTTATAAATGGTGGATTGATTCCTGAACCAGGGCCCGATATCCAATTTTCACTAAAAATACCCCAGAATTTTGTACTCGATCAATTATAGATGAATAATATAGCTACATTAATGTATTTCTATTGTAAACAGCAATCATATTGATTTGAAAGGACTTCTTTGAGGTGACTTTGCTGGACTTTTTGAAGGGCTCTTGGTTGGACTTTTTGAAGGGTTCTTGGCTGGAGTCTTCTTGAGAGTCTTGGCTGCAGGTTTTTCTGGAGTCTTGTCTGCTTTCTTAAAGAAAGTATCCAAGGAAGTTTGGACAGATGTTCTCCAGGGAGATGGGCAACGCAGCGAACTTGTTCGCTGGTGTAGCATCGCATCGGATCAAATGTTGTAAAGTCAAAACTGACATCAGAAAGTTGAAACAGGGTGTCAATGTATAAACGTTGTAAGTGTGAAACATTGTAACTCAAAATGTTGTAAGTCGAGGACTGCCTGTATATGGTTGTGTCATAAATATGGTCGTGCCAGACTAGATATTCCAAATGGTTGCTTCTAGCTGAAAAAGAAGACCTATGAAAATTCATGCCAGAAGGCTTCATTTGCTCTTTTTATTAACCATTCATTATTCTCCAGTTTAAAAATTCACTTATCCAATCAAGGACCTGTAACAATACTATGCAACATGGGGGCCTAATCACACACACCATGAATCACAGAGTCAGAGAGTCCAACTGAATGAACTACTTTGGTAAAAATCACTTTTCATAAGCTCATCAATCAGTGTTTTTAAGAATAAATATTCTTAGAAATGAGGATTAAGTTGTGAACAGAAAAAATAGACAAATTAAACAATAAATTATTTGAAATAAGAGATTGTAACTATCTCTAACATCCACTTGGCAAGTATGCAGTTATATTTTGAACCACATGATGGCAGAATTCTATGAAGAATATAGCAATTTCTCCAGAACCCACTAAAATTGGCCAACTATATTTTAATTTAATGATCACTACATTTCTCAGTCTGCACCCTCATTTTTTTCCAAATAATTCCCCAATATTTACAACAGATACACTGAGAAACCATCATACAATACAACGGTGAATCACTCTTAAAGAAATAATTTCATACAATGGGCCTTTCTCCTTGTAACAAACTGCAGTATATTATAAAGTGAATGCCGTGCCCTTAACTGAAATAGAACCTATGTCTAGAGAAACAATAATTCTCTCAGATAATGCTCATGAACATTGCAAAGGTTATCTTCAGACAAATGCCATTAGTATTTGGACTGCAGCTGTAGTGTAATCAGAGTAAATCATACCATGCACCAAATGCACTGTAACTCTGCAGTAGTGACTCATTTTTGTTAAATTAGTCTTAAATATTTCAGTAGAACTTGGAAGTCAGATATATGATGTGTATTCAATAGATGTTGTATTCATGCTTATCATTAACAGAGTTAGCAGTTCTTGAAATCCAGGCTAATTATAGCACATTCATTTGCAAACAGACAGCAGAATTATTCCCTCATAAAAAATACTGCATTTTTTCTATAGTGATGGCTTAATGGCCCAAGTCTTACAGTTTCTCTCAACAATACTTAAAACAATGTTTTCTTTGAATATGGTTTTATGACATTTTGTTGTTGAAAATATTGTAAGCTTGCAGGATTTTAGAATTGTAATGGGTTTTTTTAGCAATAAGGGATAAGTTATGTCAATTCAAACCTTATATTCTTTTTATTTAAATGTGTATTAATCTTTTTAAAAATTATATGAATTGAAAATGTCATCTCACCTGCAAAGTGAAGTAGCAATCTTGGCAGTTCTGGCATGCAAGTCCCAGTCTTTGAGCATGCAGTTTGAACTTAACTGTGAAAAAAGGATAAGGGCAATACAGCACAACTTTGAAAATTAAAGGAAGAGGTTTTTTTGTTGAATCATTAAAGGCATTATATCTTAGTTAAGGCAAATGAAGATATCTAGGATACTGCAATAATAAAAAACAGAAAGAAAACACAGCTAATTATTTCAGTCAGTAAAATGTATTTCCAAATGACAGCTACCCATGATTTTTCAGTCCCTCTGCATCCAGCCTGTCAAAAGAAGGATACTGAAAGCAAGGTACTGGAAAACGCTGCATGGTTATAGCATGGTTATAGCACCCCGCTTCACGGGGTCTGGGCTGCATGGAGTAATTGCATCTCTAAAATAATATGCATCTCTCTAAGATTTTTGAGATATCGAGTGAATGAGATTTTTAAAGACAAGATCTCTGGTCTTGGCAGTCCTTGGGGAAATCAAGGACTGCCAAAATGAAATAGCCCTGACAAGTTTCTCACACAGCTGAACGTGCAATAGCATTAAAATGTACCTGTCATCATTTTAAAGTGATGAAGAGACGATCTTCTCAAAGATCTCCAGGATGTTTAGCAGTCAGCATAGATCAGAGATATCTCAGTGAACCACACAGATGGGAGGAAACAAGAGGCAGAAAAGGCTCATTCCTGATATCCTGCACCTGTCTCAATTCCAGCCACATCTGCCAACTGGACTCAGTGGCTTGAGTGAAGCATCTTGACTCTTTTACCTCAGCAGGCACATGGGGTAAAAAATTAAGTCACCGAAGTGACTTGGAAGTCTGAGTCCCATATTCAAAAGATTTAGACTGTTCTTAAGTCAAAGAGACTTGACGTGCCCAAATAAGGGTGCCAGGTGACTTTGGCAGTTTTAAAATGTTTAACTCCTGATAATCCCTTTGACTTTCGATGAGATGCAGGCTGCAGTATAACTAAGCTGCTTTTGAAAATGGCACTTGAGTGCTTTCGAAATGTAACCAGGTACTTTGAAGAACTAAGCATGGAGTAGGTTTTCATGTTATTTTGTGCTTTTCACCAACATTTTCTAACCAGTGACTGTTGAGAAAACCCATTTTCAGTCATGGAAGTTGGATGGCTGTGTTTATGAAACACCTCTACTCACAGAGCTAGAAGAGAGACAAGTCCACTACAGGCAGTTACTAGTCTCACGGCTGCTGTAAGATTAGCCTCTCCCATTCCCAGCGTTTTTGTTGTGGCCCCACCTCTACAAAGCTCAGGCTTCACACTTAGGAGCATGACAGTATGCAACCTCAGGAGGCAGTCCAGATAGGGGAACTGTCGCATAGCTCTTAGGGAGCTAAGGTGGACCATTGGGCATCTGTTGTACTCAGGAGGAGGCTGCAATCGTACAACTGTGAATCTCCATGTTAGCAAAAACCATAGATTCCCCCTGACTTCCAGCCACATTGTTACAAGGAGTTGTTTAATGTCGCTATTAAGGAAGTGTAAATTTTGTGGTGACCATCCTACCTTTTGCCTTATCAATCAATTAGCCAAGAGCCTTACCTTTCCAACGATGAAATATCAATACTTTATTTGAAAGTAAATTTAACAAAAGAAGGGAAAAAGCAACAGCTCATATTCAGCCTGCTATATTCTCTTGCATGAGGTACTTTCTCTAATGTTATCACAACGACATACTTCAGTGAACCAGCTCCAGAAAGGAAACATGTATGCTGATCCTGTAATCATCTCCACAGCGACCGGAGAGATTCCCTACGGTAAGAAGGCAGTATTTCATACTTGGTAAGCAAGAGTTTCTACTTGCTCAGAGGTGGGAGGTTTTAACCGTACATACTGGCTACTGATAATATTTCGTGGTCCATGAGAGAGGACTGCAGCACTTACTTATGTGCTAACAGGAAGTGAAAGCAACTTTTCACTTCACTAGTAAACACACCACATAGTAGGAAATGCTGCTACCTTATCAACCAACTACAGTCCTTACTAGTCTTTTGAGGGTCTAATATCACTGGCCTGTACATGCCGTGTAATTGCAACCATTATTCTTTTATGTGTCTTTGTTTCCTTAACAGATTAAATTAAATGTATTCACCAGCCAGTAGAATAGGAAGACACAAGGTTAATCTAACATAACATTTCCTGTTCATAGAGATAAGCAGTGTGTTGGCAAAGGTTGAACTAGACTTGTTTATGTCTTAAGTAACATAAATCTCTGTTTCACCTTGGTTTGCTAAGACAGGTGAAGTGTCCAATAATGTTCTTTCAGCTGGAAGCAAAAAAGCAACAAAAAAACCCAAACCAAAACAAAAAAATGCAAAAAAGAAAGAAGTTTGATGAGACTTAAGTGTTTATGGACAATGCTTCTGCATGGGAAATGGTTATGCACATTTGGCCATATTTCTCAGAAGCACTTGCCTGGAAATTCCCTTCCAGAACCAGATTCTCACAGCCAGATCACCCCAGCATGTCAATAGGTGTATGCAGTGCAAACTGTGCTGTTACTTTACCACCATATCCTGCATCCATTGAAGTCAGCATGAGTCAGGGGCCAGGTACAGATATTACACTTTTACTAGTATAAGTGATGAGAAACCAGTCTATACCTGTAGCAGAACAAAAGTACAACACATAGACTGATTTAAAAATGGCAGAACCGGGTCTAAGATTTGTGCTCCCACCAAAGGACAAATGTGTGTTCTGCTCACTTCTGATCTAAACTACGCTGCTTACAGAAAACTGCATAACTTAAACCAATTCTGCCTTGAATGTCTGTTTCTTGAATGTCTGTACCTAGCCAGGTTGCACAAGTAACATGTGACCACAACAGCAATACATGGGCAGCTACATTTGCTTTTTAAGTTTTAAATAGATAGGTAGAACTAGGCACTAAATATTTTATCACAGATCCTCAGCTGCTGTAAGCCAGGGTAGCTCCATAAAAGTCACTGGGGCTATGACAGTCATGGACCTATGCATTATTTGAGGGGTAAGGGCATGTGAAAAAATTACCATGAGGTCATGAAGGATAAAGTTTTATAATGCATCAATTGTTCTGTGGTAACTGTCCATGTACAGGCTCTTGCCCTATGATAGAAGAAGGGTCGTAGCAGAGCTAGTGCAACTGAGCTTTCATTTGCCACAATGTAAGAACATACATGCAGGCAGTTGCCTTACAGTAGGAGAAACATACTGTAAAACCCACCCTCATGTACTTTGAACTAGCCAAGTAGCATCACTGAGTGAGAAAAATGGCTTCCAAATGTAAGTTTGCACCCTTCTGTAACCTTCGGTTAAAGTGACTGACCGCTTGAAATTTCCTGGTACAGTTCTAAGTCTCGGAGCTGTATCTCATTGTCTCCAAAGAGCTCCAGAAATGGGACTTTTGTCCTGAATTAAAAATAAAAAAAGTCTTAAATTAGCTGACCTACCCTCCATCTCCAAATGTTCCTATGGCATTAGGCAGCATCCTCTGTGTTCACTGAGAGGATGCAGACAATACTGCCTGGGCCTCATGGACATGAATAGCTATGTTCACATGGCAATGTCACTGGGCAAATTAATGCCACATCTTAGCGGAGCAAATTCACCCAACCACAGCACTATATTTAGGTAGGTCAATCATAACTGGAAGTGATTAGAGACTACTTATGGAGGTCTGTGGAATAATTGAAATGGTGCCCCAATTTTGGCTCCTTAAGATTCGGTCACTTTACCTTCAGTCTTAGAAAAATATAATTTTCCCATCAGGCTACTGGGTTTATAATCTGTGACCCTGATTTGGCCATATTGTATGTGAATAATATACACTGGTAATATCACTGAGTTTAACAGGGTGACCTATTTACATGAAGTTACTCACATGTTTGCATAATTGGAGCCAATAAGAATGTCTTCCATAAAATAAAGGTTATTTGATCACTTCTTTTTTAATTCCCTCACTTTTCAGACGATGAAGTTGGAGTTTTTTTGGGACTAGGCATCGGTACGATCATACTGTCAATTGCCTTTTTAACCTTGATGTCTAAAAAATCTTTTAGAAAAAGGTACTCTTTTCTTTTCTTTTTTTGTTTCCAAAACATTCTTCTCTTTGAACACTCTAGGATTACTGTAACTGCAGAAGTTAGTCCTTTTGTACAGCCTTTTACACAGGACAACTTTTCCCATTAATAATACTGCTATCAAAAGATGCCCTCCATATATTTTACAGTGAGGCAGACAACCACAGGGAAAAGTAACATGAATCTTCCTTTGGAAAGCCCATAGTTAGGGACCAAGGGGTAAGTCATTATAGAAACATGAGAGAGAAAGCAAAAAGTTTAGCCCAAATCCATTTAGTGTAGTCTCTTCTTAGAAGGGATGAATGCACTTCTAAGTCAAGAACAGAAACTGCTGCTCAAATACTACCTGGTTCTTGGTCAAGCAGAGCGCTATGGCATTGCCAGATTTTGGACCCTCCAGAGGTATAAAATGAAGTAGGACAGAAAGGAGCATGGAGGCTGGTGAGGTTTAGGCAATGTGAGTCAGACACCAAGTCTGATTTAATCAATACTGCTGGGAATGAAACTGTTAAATAACAGAATAATAGTATATTGAAAACAGAGACTCACCAGTTTTCTCAAGAATATAGCAAACCACGGTGAAGAGCTCTGTCATTTGAAATCTCTTATCACTAATTTTCATTTTGTCAGTATATAGAGCAGCTTCAAACATAAAAGGGTCAAGTTTTAATATTACAGCATTTCTGATTATGTCTGAGCTATTCTTATCAGAGCAGGACACATATGCATCCTCCTATTTATACGTAATTTTTTTTTCAGTTTAGCAACTGGCAACACTGGTCTTGAGCATGTGCACTTTCCATGAGGGCTTGTTGTGAGCAGTCCCTCAATAGGATGATAGATATTTCCTGCGTACTCTGGGTGCCATCAGCAAATGGAGCGCTCGGCAGTTTCACAGGGAATTCTATCGATGGGGATGGGCTTTCAGGATCCAGCCCTGACTCAGTTGTGGGCAGCTTCCAAGCTAATTCTTTCGGCTAGGGACAGACATTACGCATAAATCGGTTTAAGTGATCAGAAACTGGTTTAACAGAACCTCAGTTCAGTGCACATAAACCAGTTTCAAAATGGCCAAGACCACCTGGAGATAAACCTGGTTGAATGTAGTATCAGACTTCACTGATTGGGGTCAAACCGGTTTATAGAACTTGTGTCCCAAACCCTTTCCGATTTAAATTAAATCAGAGTCCTCCAGTATCCCAGCATGCTCTCCAGCCCTGGGCTGGGCTGTCTGTTCCAGCCAAGCAGAGTTGGCCCCGCCCTTCTCCTCCCTAACCAGAGCACTATCACTGCTCCGGCTGGCTGAGGAAGAGGTGGGGGTAGGAAACCCTGCTCTGGAGTATTGCCAGGTCTGCCTGGCAAGGGGGCAGCAGCCCTTGCCAGGCGTCCCCAGGCCCCCACCACCCTCATTGCTCCAGCGGCAGGAGTGGGGGCAAGGCCAGACCCCAGTGCCTTAGGGGAAGTGGGAGTTTAATTCCCCTATTGCAGGGTGGGGAGGTGGCGTGGGCACCGATATGCTCCACTTGTGTACCCGGGGCCGCGGCAGCCAGACACCAGTAATCTGAGGGGAAGTGGGGTTTAATCCCCCCATTGCAGGCAGCAGCAGTGGGGGCACTGACTCAGTGCCCTGGGCTGAGCCCCTCCGAGGAATGGCCAGCTGGCCGCAGGGAGTGGGGGAGAGGGGGGACTTAGCCCAGGGTGCCATGTCAGTGCCCCCGCTGCTGCTGTCTGCAATGAGGGGATTCAACGCCCCACCCCGCTTCCCCTCAGGCTACTTGTGTCTGGCAGCCACAGCCCTGGGTGCGTGGCTCTGGGTGCACAAGAGGAGCCTATCAGTGCCCACACCACCCCTCCCCTGCACTGGGGGTATTAAGCCCTGCTTCCCCTCAGGCTACTGGGGTCTGGCTCTGCCCCCATGCCTGCTGCCAGCTAGCAAATGAGGGGGAGGGGACTGAGGATCCCTGACAGGGACTGCTTCCCCCAGCTGGGGTCCCTGCAGGCCAGGGTGGGGGTTTAAACCCCTCCTCAATCACACTCAGGCCTGCCCAGGCCTGGCCGTGTCCCACCTCAGCTTAGTTTCCCTTCAGCCAAGGGCTTGCTGTAGCACTCCCCGGTTTATGGCCTGAGCTACTACAGGCATGTGCCTGCGTTTCCAGAGCCAAAAGTGAATGTCTATTCACTTGCAAATTGGTTCAATCTACACAGGTTAAAGTAACCTGCAAAGATTGAATCAATGCAGGCTCTGGCTTTTTGAATGTCTGTCCCTAACCTTATTGTCTAAGGACCCTATTCAGCATTTACCCTTCTCTGACTTTCACAGAAGCTGTGCCTCGGTAAGAAGTGCTGAATGGAGCACTTAAATTGAGGTCAAGGGAAATTTGCCAGGAGATTTCAATTCTATATTTACAGTTTAAATAGTTCTCAAGTTCATTTCAAGGAGTCTTGAAAAGTTCATGCCACAATATAATCTATAATATATCACTGCAAGTCTACAAGCACTTATTACTCATGGCATGAAACGCATAGCCTCCGCCCATCCAGAGGTCCCAAAGAAGTCCTAAATGCCACTTACACAAGCCATAAAAATACACAGAGCTTGCATTGCCTCCCTGGCAAGGACAAATTTCTCCCATAATGTACAAGTAATATCTTTTCTTTTTTGAAGAATTAGCACCGTGGCTGTGTCACTGACACCAACATGTCTGCTTGAAGATTTCCCTCATATGGAAAACAGCAACATGATCAAATCACTCCAGGTAACTACTCAACACAAAAGCAAGCTTGAACACCAGCACAATATAAAAATAAAACAACCACCATCATATCCAGGATTTGCCCTGAAGTGCATTTGAAAGTGGGCAGCAAACAACTGCTCCCTTTATATCTCTCTTCTATTCATTTTAGTTCACTTTGCAGAAGCTGATTATTAAGTAATGGTAATATGTGTTAATAAGGGAGGGAGAAAGCAAAGAGGAAAATGGGCAAGTGAATAAAACAGTAGGGTTATGAATTCCTCCCTTCTTTGTCTTATTTTTACACAGCAGTGACATTTTTACAACTGACAAAATATTGCCTGTTTATGTTATTTTTTAACCAGGAAAAAAGTGAATTCATGAATGACATCTCCACTGAGTTTTACCTGGTTGATGATGACCCTGTAGTTACAGAAATACAGGAGAACTCACTGCATGGGGAGAACAAGACTGTGGATACCCCAAAAGACAACAGAGAAGTGACTATTGAGAATGCAGACAGTCCACAAAACTCCTCACCTGACAGATTTACAGCCACTGAGCATAGCTATGGGTATAAACCCCAGATTTTCAATGGAAATACACTAGGATATATATGTAGCAATGCTTACGAAACTCAGACCCAAACACTGGATCCACATGCATCTCCATCAAGCCTAGATACAAATGTTTTCTTAAAGGATTATACAAGTCCTACTCCTTACTTGTGGAACGCTGAAGGAGTGGAGAGGAATATATTTTTACTTGAGAAGATTAATCTCATTTTAAGCAACAGCAGAAGTGGGCAGAGCAGCACTTTCAGTTCAGCAAATGAGGAGCCAAGTAGACTTGTGGAAAACCAGCAGAAAGGATCACTGTCCATTGAAAATGTTCAAGAGCAGACACTGGTTCCCGATGAGATGGTTTCTTGCTTAAGTGCTCTAAATGAAGGTTCCAGACATATTAAATCTTATTTTCCACAAACCACTGGAAGAATATTTCAATAGGAATAACTGTAAAATAAAAACCAGGTTTTTTTTATGACCATGAGGTACCCATATTTGAGTTTTCAAACACCAGAACTGAAAACATAACTCAGGATTTGAAGTTTATATTCTTAAGAGGAATCAAAAAAACTTTTGCGTGAGACCTAACACATTTCTGGTCTAATTCATAGCCATTAAACTCATGGGGCAGTTTTCACAAGCATGAGAATGTAAATCTGATTTCCTAGATAAATTCAAGCTAGGGAAATGTTATACTGCTTCCTCCAGTGCCCTTTGCAGTCCTAACTAGATGCTGTATTTCCCCGCTTCTTGTTCTCTTACAGGTATGATGTTTCACTCCAGAGATGTTTGCACTTTAGTAATGCATACAATGATTAGCTCTGGCTCATAAAATACCACGAGATTGTCTGGAATGGCAAGGCATTACATTTAAGATGATTTATATATTGAGTGGTAGAGACCTGGATGCTATAAGTCACAAAGTTGTTCTCATATAAAGGAATACAGCTATTTATTGTTCCACTTTTGTCTAGAAATTAAAATATATTAGAACTAGATGTGATCAACCTTTGCCTAGCCCAGTTGATTTAAAACATCTTTCTAAATTTGGCACAACATAAATCCTTCATTCCAAATTCATGATTCAGATATATAGGATTGAAAATCCAGCACCCTGCATTTTCAGTCAATCATTAATTGAAGGAGTCCTTCAATCACCATTGCAATCCCTCAAGCATAAGGAACAATATCTGAAGCCCCATGAACACCAACAACATGCCGGAATTAAAAGCAGGAAAGATGACAGTATTATGGTTATCACCCACCTACCCACAGGCATGCACGTACACACACGCTTTCTTTTTATGCCCTCTTCAGTTGTTTCAGCTTCACACATTACAGCTTGACTGAATGAGCTGAACTGGAATGCAGAGTTCTTTGACGGTGTCAGTAATTGGAGCGATCCAGTTGACATAGCATATTTGGACTTTGAAAAAGCTTTTGACAAAGTCCCCCGTCAGAGGATTAACATCCACTTGTGGATTAGAAATTGACTCCAAGATAGAAAGCAAAGAGTGGGTATAAACGGCCAACATCAGGATGAAAAGAAGTAAACAGTGGGGTCTGCCAGGGATCCGTGTTGAGACCAGTATTTTTTAACCTATTCATAAATGATCTGGGAAAGGGGCCGAGTAGCGAGATTTGCCAATGACACAAAATTATTCAAAGTAGACTTAGAAAAGTGAAGGTGGACTGTGAAGAACTACAGAAGGATCTAGTATATTGAGCAAATGGACAACTAAGTGCAGATGCAATGCAATCTAGGTAAGTGTAAAAGTGATGCACCTGGGCAAAAATAACCCCAACTATAGCTACACTATTGTGGTCTCTGCATTAGCTGTTACCACACAGGGAAGAGATCTAGGAGTCATTGTGAACAGTTTGCTAAAAATATCAGCTCAATGCTCAGCAGCCATCAAAAAAGCAAACAAAATGTTAGGGATTATTAAGAATGGAATTTTAAACAAAACTGAAAGTATCATTATGTCCCTTTATAAATTCCTGGTGAGTCCACACCTTGAATATTGTGCCCAGTTCTGGTCCTGTCACCTCAAAAAGGGTATAGAAGAACTAGAGACGGTACAAAGAAAGGCAACAAGGATGATTAGCGGTATTTAGGGGTTTCCATATGAGGAGATACTGAAGAGGCTGGGCCTATTCAGTTTAGAAAAGAGATGCTAGAGGGGGAATATGATAAGGGTTTACAAAATACTAAGTGGTGAAGAGAAAGTAACTAGTAAATATTATTTACTATCTCACACAATACAAGAACTAGGGGTCACAAAATGAAACTAGTAGGTAGTAAGTTTAAAACTAACAAAAGGAAGTTCTTTTTCACAAAGTGTGTAATTAAAGTGTGGCATTCATTGCCACCAGATGTTGTGGAAGCTGACAGTTTAGCTAGATTCAAAAAATGATTGGACAAATTCTTGGAGAATAGGGGCATCAGTAGCTATTGATCTTGGGCGTTTGGGATACAATCTGTGAATTAGAACTGCCTAGACCTTAAATGTTGGAGGCTACAAGTGAGAGAGGGATCGTGGGAAAAACACACCCTGGTCATACCCAGTTCCCTCTCCCTTTCAGCATCCACTCTCTGCCACTGTGTAAGACAGGATACTGGGCAAGATCTACGGCCTGATCCAGGAAATGGCAATTCTGATGTTCTTAGGCAATTCTGATGATCATGTGCAGGTGTATCCATGGCATTAATATTGTATGGCACCCTTAAAAGGATCTTGTGGTACCTCAGGGTGCCATGACACCCTTGTTAAGTGTCACTGCTCTAGGCAATCAGAAACTTGTTTTAAACGCAAGAAGGCTGGCTCACGTTTTTAACAATTTTGTTTCACATGGCAGCCACAGCTACCCAAGTGCAGAGACTCCAGGCTGTGTTAGA